AAAAAAACATTTAGTTGAATATTTTTGAGTCTATGTTCATAAAGAATATTGACATGTAGGATTTTCCCATCATCTTCTTAATAACTTTGTCTATCTTTGATATCAAAATAAAAATCACCTACAGAATGAATTAGAAAAACCATAAGTGAAGGACTTTAACAAAGAGAAATTTATTCTCTCATACTTGGTTGTTGTTGTTACCAGGTGCCATCAAGTCAGTTCTGAGTCATAGTGATCCTTGGCAAAACAGAGAGAAACACTGCCCAGTCCTGCTTCATCCTCACTATTATTGTTACATTTGAGTCCATTGCTGCTGGTCAGTGACATTTGAGCCCATTGACAGTGGTCAGTTCATCTTGCTGGAGGTCTTTTTGTTCTTACTTTACTATCCACTTCACCAAGCATGATGTCCTTACCCAGGGCCTAGTCCGTCCTGATAATATGTCTGAAGCATGAGAGACAGTTTCACCATCCTGTCTGGCATGAAACATTCTGGTTGTACTACTTCCAACAAACATTTGTTTGTTCCTGTGACAGTACATGGTACTTTTAATATTGTTCTCCAATTCCATAGCACAGATACATCACTTCTTCTACTATCTTTCTCATTCACTCAAATTTCACATGCATAGAAAACTATTGAAAATACCATGGCTTGCTTCAGTTACCCCTTAGTTCTCAAACTGACATGCTTGCTCTTGAACGCTATAAAGAGGTCTTGTGTAGCAGATTTGCCTAATCCAATACCTCATTTGATTCATTTGCTGCTGTTTGCATAGTGTTGATTGTGGATCTAAGCAAAATGAAGTCTATGACAACTTTAATCTTTTGAACTTCAGGAGGTTCGACGTCCAGATAAGAGCACCAGCACTAGGGAAGACTTTCTGTCTGTGTGTCAGCTCTGGAGGAAGATCCTTGTCTCACAAATTTGTTCTCAGCTTCTGTGGATCAGAGGTCCAGGTACAGTTAAGCTGGGTTTTCCTCTCAGATATCAGAAAACTGTGCCATCTGTCCTGGGATTGCCATTGGGGCTCTGGGATCTCTTCCTTGTCACTCAGGATTTGACAGAATTAAGACTCTGTGGTTGTAGAACTGAGGTCTCGTTTTCTTGCTGCCTTTTGGTCAGTAAATTGTTCCACATACTGTAGGCCAACTGTAGCTTTTTGTCCTGTGGGCTCATGGGCAATTCACAAAAGGCTGTTTTCTTCCTTCCAGGTCAGTAGGAAGGTGTGCCAATGACTTCTGCTCTAGCATCTGTTTATCTTAAGTGCCATTGAGGTGACTTAGACACTATGTGACAGAATAGAACTGTCCTATAGGTTAGGAGTTGAGTGCTTACCATTGCATCACAAGGGCGCCAGCATCCAAATTCCCTTTAAAGAGCTCATTGATTAGCACAGACCTATCCAAGATGATTCTCATTTTATTTAGCATAACTGATTAGCCACCTTAACTATATTTGTAAGAGTGTCTTTTCCAAATACCACTTTACAACCACAGGAGTGACAACTCATTCTTGTCACAGTCTTCATCCATGCTCAAGAGGAGGAGATGAGATACGTAAGGATTATCTTATAAGTATGTCCATCAAAGGAGCAGAGATAAGGTCACATCCACAACATCCATGTATCATCCAGATGGAAGGATCCAGGGGGTGGTCAGTTATGCACACCTGGAGGTCAAGTTCATCATGCAGATCCAGGAACTATCAACATAGACAGCAACAACAGTGGCAGGTAATGAATGAGGCCACAAACATGTCAGTCCACAATCAGGTATAGAGAAAAGCAGCCAAGGATTCAGTCCAGGGAGCAAGAAATTTAGAATGATGAACTCAAATGGAAGATCACAGAAGTGAGAGAAACTCCAACGAAGCCAGTGACCAGGAACCTGAAGGGATCTGGGTTTTCTAGGGTGCTGGACATGGGGAGACATAATGGTCTATATAGAAAATATCCTTTATATCTGATGAATTGGTCATGGCACACTATATAATAAGGTCAACATACAAAAATTAATCCTATTTCTGTATGATAGCAACAAATTATTGAACGCCTGAATTAAAACACCATCACTTTAAAAATATACAATATATGAGTACAAATCCAATGAAAACCATTATTCTGAAAACTAAAAGATACTAAAGAAAGAAACCAGTGTAAATGAAGGCACATATAATATTAATGGCTTAGAAAGTGCAATACAAGTATAACATAAATATCATTTCTCCCCCAAACTGTCTCATACATAGTTTGAAAGAAATTCTTGTAAAAATCCTAGTTGGATTCTTTGTCAATACTGATAAGTTGATTCTAAATTTTAAATAGAAGTATAAAGGAAGTAGAACAGGCAAAGAAATATTGAGAAAGAAAAATATCATTGGTGGAGGGTGAAGGGGAAGAGCTGCATTGACAATGGTGTGGACCATCCGCTGAAGATACAAATTCAAGAGAACAAGCTAGCTTGAAGCCCACCACCAAATCCTAACCGTCCACATGGAATTCTGGAACTCTCCAACGTCCTGGAGAAGCAGGAGACTGATTGGTCTGCGGAATTCCCTGTGAAAAAGTGTGAAGGAATGGGAATGGCAGAAACAGATACAATTCTCATTCCAAAAGGTTCACCAGAGGTGAAAGGAGTTGTACCTGAAGGTCTGGAAAGGAAAACAAGGAATAAGGATATGTGTCACAAGGTTAAGTCATGCTTTCACTATTTTTAAATGGCATACACTTTCCTAAGGAAAGTGCAAAAATAGACACCAGGAAAGGACCTTGTGTACATATCACACCTGACGCCTAGTCAGGTATATAAGCCCTCCTGGCAGAAGGGACTCCATATCAAAACCTCTCACTCACTATCTACTACTCTAAACAACTCCACCCTCAACTCACCAGAATCATGGGCTGCTGTGGCTGTTCCGGAGGCTGTGGGGGCTGTGGCTCCAGCTGTGGGGGCTGTGGCTCCAGCTGTGGGGGCTGTGGCTCCAGCTGCTGTGTGCCTGTTTGCTGCTGTAAGCCCGTGTGCTGCTGTGTGCCAGCTTGTTCCTGCTCCAGCTG